CGTTCGACCTTAATGTACGGTTGCGAAACCTGGCCCTACAGATCAGTAGAGATAGAGGCTAGTTACGTTCGACCATCGGTGCCTTCGCAGTTTGGCTCACATCAGGTGGGAACACCGCGTGAGAGACGAGCGTGGTTCGACGCCTTGTTTACGGCACAGGAAAACGAACTGAACCGCTCAACACCGTCATTTCACGCACCAGGCTCCGATGGCTCGGCCACGTGTTACGCATGCCAGCCCACCGACTCCCGCGACGTGCGTTGTTTGCGCGCCGGGGGTGTGGATGGAAGAAGAGGAGGGGTGGCCAAGCGATGACTTGGTCGAGAGGAATGAAGGTCCTCACTTCGGAGTTGGCCTCGGTTTGAGCTTCAAGGCTCATTTGTTGGGGACCAAAAGACGATGAACACCTTAGGCTAGATACACTTGCTGACATGGCTAGGAGCCGACCTCAGTGGCGTTTCTGCTGTGAATTTCTTTGTCCATCCCCATATCTTTTAGCCTCCACATCCAACCACGATCTTATTTCGTAGTATAATATAATTGTACAACCTAATTTTTCTTGTTGACTATTAGCCGGCGGATAGCTTTCCGGAACGATGCTCATCCGTTGCTGGTAGCTCAGCTGGCATACAACTGTTGTATTTATTTTCTTTTTCTTTTATTTATTGCGGCACAGTAGCTGAGGTGTTTCCCACCTCTGGCTAACGTGTATAGTGATGATGACGATGGCCAATATGCACACTTACAACTCTCAGCATACTCAGCTGAGACTGCATTATCAGTAGAAGCTAGTTGCATAGGCCGGTCCACCTAAGTAATGTTCTTACATACGCGAATAAAGTATCTCGCTTTTATTCAGTCTTTACCTATATCCAGGAGTCTATCGGTAAAAGTCAGTAACACAACAACGTCGTGGGTATACCGTACCTCAGAACTTAGGTCAGATGACTCAGTGGCTTGAAAAACCAGCAAACTTAGCTGTCTCTTATCATTTGAAACGCATCCAATAGTAGATCTAAAACCTCGAACTTTGCTTGGTCTTGCTCGAAGCGGTAAGCGTCCCCTTGTTTCGTGGCTTATTCCGTCATTCAATCTGTCACGCCTACTCAGCTCTCGGGCATGTATCACTTTAATCCTTAGAGGCACCAGAGCAAAACATTGGTAAAAAGCCAACCTCAGTTGGTATTGTGTTTCCGGAAATCCCGGATCGCTGATACACTGGTTTGTCAAGTGAAAGGCAGGAAGGATGGATTGAAACTTGGATGAAATCTGAGCCTAGAACTGTGCTCATGGTGGGACATCTTAGGCCACATGTTCCATCGGCTAATGCCACAACTCTCTCCCTTTCCAGCCGTTTTCTACCACGCCACCACTTGAATGGGAAACACAGTGGACGATATGAATCCGCTGGTAATTTAATACATGGAATATGAAGGCTAGCATATTGACGGAAACACGTAAGAGCGCTTATCCTGTATGCAACAACTTGCGAACAGGAACCACAACGGCGATTGATTGACTCGACATTTTTGATTAGCCCACGGAAAAATGACATAACGTGGTGAGATAAAGTTGGCCGAACGGCACTCCGAAATTACTGGACAATTAAAATACAAAATACAATGTAACCATTCAGGGTCAAAAATGAAACTGAACGATATCGAAATTTCTACTCGAGGAATCCATGGAGAAAGAATCCTGACAACAGAGTCTCTTAGTGAGCTTCAGAGACAGGATGGCCTCGATACAGTCAAGTTGCCGGTACCGTCGTGAATCATTGGACTGTTAAGGAGTCGAGCTAAGCAAATTCCAGGATAAAGTTGGGCTTTCCAGATAAGTCCTTTAAAAGTAGTCAACCCGAAAGAAACATGCAGACAAATGAATTAATGGTGGTCTCCAGATTTAGGAAGACAACATGGCAAATCACTTGTTCGCTTTACGTGTTTCACGTCGTCGGCCGAATTGCATGTATTTGAACAATGGGAGCTCTGTTGAGACAGAAACTAGCCGGGCTGTTACTTATTTATTTTTCGTAGGGACTGATGAGTGTCAGCATAGGACGCATGGAAGTAACTTGTTTTTATGGGTGTTGAGGACGTTATTGCGCCGATTTTTAGAGGGCGACAGTTGACTCATTCTAATGACGAGAGCAGATATAGTACACTATGTCTGATTGGACAACAAGTGCATGGCCGACGATTTCACCTTCGAAAACATGTTTTCTACCAGGTCTAGTAAGTAAGAGTAAGGCAAGCGGATCTTCAGATAATAAAACGAGCCCAGAATCCCTCTTAGATCATCCGGCATGTGGATCCTGCCGTGGTCCGTTAACAACCATGCACCGTTCATCTCCACACCGCAGCGTAGACGCGCCACAAGTTCCTCGACGAAGATAGAGCACTATGCACTATTGTAGGTGCCACCGTCGATAATTTTTGATTGAACGATTCCGCAGTTATTCATTGCCAAAGTCAGCGTCACCATGCGGCGTTTGAAGGGGGCAAGAAAACGTTCGCGCGTGGCCCTGCTCTTGAGCAAGCCTACGCCTGCTGCAGATGGAGATTGAGCCAGCTCACACGTAGGAAGATGTGTTTCGCTTTGTCGTGAGTGCGTAGACCCGCCAGCTTGCGATTGTCGTGACATGGTTGCCGCGCTATAGCTCGCAGTGGCGCTTCATGAGCGTAATCGTTAGGCTTCTGAGGGTGTTGAAGATGGTGTACACAAAAAAGTGAATCCCGTCCTCGCTCGGCTACCGCTGTAGCTGCACAAACGTGTGCTCAGAATGCCGTTCAACGGTCTCTTCACCCCGCTGCAGAAGATTGGGAGTCAGCGTCTCCCAGTTGTTTCCTCCACAATTGCGCTATATGCGTAATTTCTCACGTGTAGGCATTGATGATATTTCGTCTCGTTGACATCGGCGGCTTCAGTAGCTTCGTGGGTGGCATTGCAGTATGCGTACACAAGTGTGATAGAGATCGTTTCCTGTGCTAATGATGTTCTCCTGCATCACCGCTGCCTCAGAAACGCGTTCTCTCGTCGCTCGTCGCTCATTTTGGTCGTTTCGTGCACCACAAGGCTAATAAAGCTAGGCGTAGCTTTGTGGAGTCATAACAGCACAGACTGTTTCAATAGCCGTGCAGTTGCATAGGTTCGCCCAGTCACCCATACACAGTACGCGGGAAACAGGGAAAAATTGGATCGCCTGGTTTGCTCGAGTTGAACAATACCCATGATCAAGAGAAGGGCTTACATAATCGCCTGTTGTTTACACAGTTCGGCTACATTAGCAAACCCCAATGTGGTCTGAATATCGTCCAGTCGCCTTACTCCTCAATTTTTGCTATCAAATTGCAAATCATCAGCTTGAAATGCAATGTGTCCGATTTGGCTTGCAAAACGTCAAATTTGGTTTGCAAATCGTATACGTTAAAATGAAACTGTATAGCTACGTTGTACGGAGCTACGTTGTTGTACTAGCACTTTTGGTCGGTTTCTGACTGGCATACACTGGAACGGAACTAACGTGACCAGTTCAGGGTGTCAGATGGTTGGTTGGAATTGCAGACGGGTAACGTGGCTAACAGAGGTTGATTTGTAGCAGTAGGGATGAAGCACTTTGATGTTATCCTTGCTTGCTGGGACCTGGTCTCGTGTGTAACCCATATGGCTGTTTGTTGGCACTTGATTTCAGGTGACTATGAAAACCAGAACGACATCGGAACACACAGCGAGAACAGGGTGAGTTTTGCTCACACTACCCACAGTCTGACACACACGTCGATCATAGTATATCCAGGGCAAACGAGATGGAAAAAGCATGAGGGAAGAGGATGGGAGCCACGATCGATTCGGAGTTTGCTTGCATACACAGTTAGTGTAAAGGTAAGAAAACACACATAGCAGGTATACACAATGTGGGTCGCAGCCCGTTCCAAGCCGAAACTTTTTTTGAGGACTGCGCACCCTGCCCTAGTCCCGGTAACGAGCAGCAGACCTACACGTGCAGTTGCTGAAGTGCCGGCATCTGAATCGTAGGGAACTTGTCACCGCACGCTTGTCAAGCGGTGAGATGAGACATGAAATATCTCTCTCAGTATGGTTGGCGGCATCCGGTTTCGGATTTGCCTGTCACTGTGGCAAGCCACAGGACGCCTGCGCCTACAGAGGGACCATGGATGGCTTGCGCTGCACCACCCACAGCTCCAACCACATACCCCATATCCAGTGTAAACCCGAAGGAATAAGACCGGGAGGCATGCGGATGGGAACCACGTTTCATCAACGGAGCCGGCCCACACTCCTTCACAGGCAAACACAAACACGCTGTATTTGGGGAATCAACCGCACACAAGGCGGTGGCTGGACCGTAGTCCGCTCCACACTGAGTGCATGGAACCGCTCTTTGAGCCTAGCACGGCCACAAGAACCGTGCACCCCGTCCCCTCCAGCAACGACCAACTGTCTCCTGGAGCCAGTATGAACGATGTAGTGGGTAATAGACAGGTAGGCACCTTGTCAACATACACATCAAGCGCAACCATACCAGGGATATCAAACAACAGCCACATACAATTTAAACGACAAGCTGAAAGAAAATAAATCCAATAATGCATACAGATACGGTGGCATAACTCTGCGCTAAATTACCATATGAAGTAAGTTGGTCAGCAACAAATCCGTATTAAGTAAGAAATGTCCACAAGTTACTTAAAATGCTACAAACGCAACAAAATTACCGAAGATAAGCGCAATTAGTGTAAGCAACGTGGCCAGTTAATAGAACATTATTCAGGGAGGCAGAACAAACCAAATAAAGCGGAATGAAATTTAGCCAGCTGAAAAAGACCTAGTTTAAGTGTAAGTTGGTTTAGCCCAACTGCGGTGAAGAAGCATCAAGAATGCAACATCAGCCTCAGCATGGGGCACCTCTCTCAGTATACAGATGGTTTTACTGACATGGAAAGTATGTTAGATTCAAAAGTGTTAACGACAATACTTACAGCTTTTGCACTGCAAGTCCACGTCTCCCAGAGAGAGGGGATCCTTCACTCAAGTTGCCCAACGAGAGTCGAGAAGATCCGTTCAAGGTCAGCTTCAGACTGTCGATGCGCTTTCTAGGCGGATCGGCTGAATGATTAAGGGAGAGAATAATTTATATCGCTCACTGTGCCATTAAGTAAGATGATTTGCAGTCGTTCGATGATCTTTTATAGTCAAGTGAAATTACTAAATGCAATAGAGGACGAAGGTGCTGGAAAAAAGGTATGTGGAAAGAACCTGTCGTATTTTGCTCAGCTGAATCCTGAAGACCAGTTCATTTATAAAAGTAATTGGACTGTTAGCGAAAATCACCTATATGAGGGAAACATATGGCTGTCTGAGTATAGAGGTGAAGAACTTTTGCTTATAAAATAAAGAAACTTTTATTCTCGGCGATGTAAATGACCCTTGCATTCCCATAATGAGGAAGCTACACTTGAGAATATAAACCACCAATCACAAGCAAATCAGAGAAATTCAAATACCGTTCCCTTATTGTCATCTAGAACGACACGAGTGGCACACGAAAGAAATGGAAGGAATTGTTTTTCCCGACAGAACTAGATGCGATTTTGTATGGAGCATAAGCGGATGCTTGAGAAATGCATGTCGCTACACGAGCGTGTTATTCGCAGTGGCGTTGAGTGAAATGCGTTTGTGTAAGTGGAGCATCATCGATTATGGGGGGTAAAGCGAATCTCCGTAGGGGAATTCCAGTGAGGTTCAGGAAGAGAAGAAGCTACAAAGCTAGCGCACATTCAGTGGGTATGATGCTGCTTTATTTATGGAATAACTTTGCTTACATCGCGAGGTAGAAGAAACTGCAAGGAGGTGGTCTCAGGTGTGTAGGTTTCCTCCGCACAATAGTCAGCTACCTGCAGTCTTACTTTGCAGGTACCTCGCAATTACGCTGAATTTGAATATTTGCTTAGGTTTCATATTTGGTCACGCAGCTTCTCTACTTCTTACTATTGACTACAGTATGACTGTACAGTAGCCAGACATTAATAGAAAACAATACTAAACAGCCACTGACGATGTTGCTGGCCTAGCGAGCTGGTCACCAGATTCACGGATGTGTTGGATTTTAACTTGTACCCTTATTGAGGCGGACAAGCCAAAGTTCACAGAATCAGGTAAGGGCAAGTAGAGATCCATTTTTGATAGCAACAAGGACTAGATGAGAACAACCGCGTTCTAAGCATTGACTATTGGGAAAACAGACGGATAACATGAATCAGCACGGAGACATACAATATAGGAGCTCAGAAGCTCCGTACTAGCGTTCCAGTAGCCCTGTGTGAATCCATTTCATTGTACAATTATGATAGAAGAAACACACAAGTGCAAGGCTTGAACCCGATCAGGTTAAAAGTTTCCCCTCTGCGATTGTTAGATGCTACCCAATCCCAGCACGAGAATACATGATCGGCTGCGTATTTATTTGCGCCCGTCAACCACCGCCTTACTTGACAAAGAAAATGCTCAGAGGTCAAAGTTATTAAAAGGTTGAATAAAGTTAAGCACAACAAGACTCTAAGTCATACAGCCAACACAGTTTCGGAGAAGCGCCAGTAAACCGTTTGTCTAATTAAAACTCATCAAATCTCCATGTCGCAACTTGCTGTCTGAGACATGTTCCGCTGGGCCATGTAGGTCGTGGCGGTCTACACAATAAACTTATCAACTATCCACTAACGTCGCAATCTTCACTGTTATGCACACTGGTACTGTGAACGGGACTGGGTATTCTTTAGTTATACGACCTACATTACAACAGCAATGTAAGCTGATGATGGCACGCGTCTATGATGAATCTACGTGAGATCAGTTAACTATCCCATTTTTCATGTGGTGTGGCTGCACTGAAGAGTAACCGCGCTTCAGTATGTCAAAGCAGAAGCGATTTAGTGTTAACTAGCTTACACATGAACACATATTTGTAATCTCCCCAAACAAGAACACATTGTGATCACTGTACTGGAGAATGCTGCCACTGAAGAATGCTACACAAAATTGGCAGAGGAAGTTTCCATTAGGTAACAACTGCAGTACATGGAAAAACACAGTTTGAAAGTGGAATATTTCTGTAGCAATTTCAAAAGATCAATCAGTAGCTTGCATGTTTTTCGGGTGCCTTGATAGAGAATGACAGGGCAAGTTCCACTTTCCCGTTGGTCCGGAAATCAGTATATTGACATGGGAGAAGGCAGGAAATATCACGCTCGAATGGGAACTTCACTTATATTTTTGTTTAAAGCTGCGGTCGAGATGAACACGATGGGGTTGAAGTGACATGGTATAGGTTGCCCCTTCCTTTGCCCAACGCAATCAGGCATTGCTTGCAAAAATAGACACAGAGATGGGCTAATTGACGAAACGGCATAGTTAAGACGGTTAGTTCCCTTTTGCGATATTAACCGATAGTTCGCTGATTTCCAAAAAAAGGAACACGTGTCAAGGTGAGCTTGGCGTGAATATGACCAACATTTCTGCCCCACTGAAAATTCGTGTTCGTGTAGTCCAACAGCTTCCACAATAGACAAAAGCGCAGTGATCTCACGGCACCAGAAACAGCTCTGTCATAACTGTGTTATGTCACGTTCATACACACTTCCTTCGTTTCGCCGAAGCCATTGTAATAAGCCAGATGAAGTCAGCCCTGTGTGTTCAAAAACACATATATTTCAGTGTATTCGTTCCAGCAGCTCACAAGCTACATAGTACTACCCCAATCCGTAAAAGCACCAGAAGCGTTTCGCCCTATTAGGACTCGTCAGTGGTGCACATTCCCTCTCTCACGTACTGGGGATCGAGCGCATAAAGGCTAGAGGCTGATACCCACTAGTCAGCAACTTTAGCCGCTGAGCTGGATAGTGAGAGTTGCTCGCCCAAATACATTGCACTCCAAGATTAGTTTCGAAGTGGGTTGATCTCAACAGGTACGAATAGCACGCATCGAACTCGGGGCAATCGGGATGTTAGCTGAAACTTCTACCTCGTTAGCCCCGAGATAGCGCATCCCAATCTATTCACACTGCGACTGCTTCCAAATAGTCCTGCTTATAATGCCATAAGTTAATTGGCGGCTTAAGTTTGGTAAGCTCGTCGCTTGGTGAGGGGGCTACCCTGTCCTCTGCACGGCAGTAACGTGTAAGTCAGTGGATAGTGAGCGGCGCTATAGCACATCTAGTAACTTGTTCACAATGGTTGTTGCCGTCCCCCGTAGCTCAGTGGTCTCAACCACGGACTGGCAACAGTCGAGACGCGGGTTCGAGCCCTACCAAGGGTCGGATGGAATGCGCACTGCTGATGATTCCCGAAAGGATGAAACGCGCGTACAGTGCTTTTCCGGGCGTGTGGCGGCTGTCTGAATGAGTCTAGATGTGACGAATTTCTACCTATACCAATTATTTGTCAGCCTAAGGCTGCAGTGGATAAAGGAGTAGAACTTCCACTGCACCTCAAGCTTGTTTGATCATGCCTGTATTTGAGTGTACAGTTGCATGTCAGTTATTATGCATGGTACTAAGGAGGTATAACAAAATGCATATGCCTATCAGCTTTTGCCTTCTTACTACGAACATCAAAGCATATAAATGCACAGTTAATATCTGTGTCGCGCACATGGGGGGAGCACGTGTAGGTGCTTTGTGTCAAGGAAAACCCACCGAAGGCTGTAAGTGCGCACATCGAGTAGTGACGGGTCATCCTATCCTAGGTGCTCATCACATGCCGGATGGCTTGTCAACATCCTGTCATTCCATGGGATGTGATTCCTCAGCGAAATCCACGCAGTGCGTTGAGCCACGTTAATCATCAACACAAATGTCAGCAAGAGCATTACATCAGCAGGTTGTGCTGTGGTGTCACTACCAAACGAGTATGGATCAACAGATGGTGATGGGTCATGAAAGTAGAAGAAGGGATTAGGGAGCTAAACACACTGGACGTTCGGAGTCGAAAGAATCACTGCCAGCAAACACTAAGTGGTGAAGATTCGCTGACAGTTGTGGAGTTGCTTTTTTAAGGCTTGCACTGTTCATGTTTACAAGCGACCTCACCTCACAGATGACTTAGCAATAAAGAAAATTTAAATTGCTAGGCAGGCAAGGAGGGGACAGAGCAAACACCGTTAGGCTCATCAGGTCTCGCACAATACACATGTCGGTCGCAAATTTCTATCCTCCAGAAATATGCGCTTCGACGAAAGCGACTACACACGTGCCGCTCAAAAGGTCCAACTACAGGTTGTTGGGCCACCTTCATAAACACAAACGAAGTTCTCATCCTATGAAACATCAATGAGGAAAGAGCAGCCAAACGTCATTCACCATTCACCGGAGCAGCGCATACCGACGATTATACGCTGGTATGGTTAATAGCATGATCTGTTTGCACTTTAATATCTCCAGCTGCGTGAGACAAGGATGCCCGCTGTCACCTTTCCTCTTCAACTTCGCTGTTGACGAAGTCATGGAAATCGCGTTCACAGCACACGACTTTGAAGGTGTGGATCTGCTCGCAGGAGAACGACTTCTTGACATAGGGTATGCTGATGATATTGTCCTAATCTGTGACAGCTCACAAACGTGTCAAGCGGCACTGGACAGATTAGCACTGGCTGTCCGTCACTTCGGGTTTGGCTTCGCACCCTCGAAATGCAAAGCATTCCTCCAAGATGGGTCTGGACCACCTCCTACGCTGACCCTTGGTGGCGAGCAGATAGAAGTCCCTCACAAATTCAACTACCTGGGAAGTTGTATCAGCGCGCTTGGGATCGAAGATAAGATCACGAACCGTATAGCAAAAGCTCGAGGCGCTTTTTCTGACCTTCACCACTTATGGCGCCGGCGCGACATCACTCACGCCCTGAAGGGTAGAGTGTACAATGCAGCGGTACATTCGACTCTACTGTACGGTTGCGAAATCTGGCCCTATAGATCAGCAGACATAAAGAGGCTAGTTACGTTCGACCATCGGTTCCTTCGCAATTCAGCTCTTATCTGGTGGGAACATCGCGTGAGCGAGGAGCGTGTTCGACGCCTTGTTTATGGCACAGGAAAACGAACTGAACCGCTCAACAC